TTTTAAGGCTAATTAAGGCCTTATTTTTGGATTGATGAAGTCAATGCCTTTTAAGACTTTTTAAGGATTCGCGGGAACCCTGTCTGTACATTTATAACAAATGACACAAATATCCAATATTATTGTCTCAATATGAACTTGCTGACTAATGGTGAGACTTGAGTTTTAAAAAAAATGCTGCTATAAAATTTCAAACAGTAATGTACTTTGTGGAACTTTGTGGTTTGAACAAACGTTTGAGACATTAAATCAACAATTAAAAGGGTCAAATATTACCAAGCTTTAGGCAGTCTTGTAGCGAAATTTCTTTTTTTTTCTTTTTTTTTAAATGTAGGAAATGTTTAACTTTGTTCTGTGTTCTTACCCATCACGGCCTTTACTGATAATCTTCACCTCGAAGTAGTAGACCCCGCAGGCRGCTGGGATGGGGTGGGTGGCCCGTACGGACGCCGCATCCTTGGGGGTTTTGCCATGACCTTGAGTGTGGAATAAAAACACAGAAATTTAACAGTTCTTATAAATAATTTTTAATCCTTAATAATCAGATGCACAGTAAAATGCTCCCTGCTTTATGTTACTTAAGCTGATGAACCCTGATGTTTAGAGCAGGTACAGATTGYGTGTAGATTCATGACGATTTGCTTTGGGTAAAACTTGCCCTCATCACAAGCACTGATACAGAAGGATCAAAGTGTCAAAGCATTATCCTTTGTTGGGACTACATAGTGACCAAATTACATCAAACCTACAGTCAAATCTGATCAGAGGAGAAGTGGGTTATCTGTGGACACAATTCTATCAAAGAGCTGCAAACTAAACCTGATAGGTTTCAACAAAACCTAAGAACAGATTATCTTTTTTTCTAGTGTGCAACAGTGTAAACTTAAATAACATTTTAACTATAACAGCCTTTTCCTCTGACTTTTAACAACAGATATAAAAGGCAWATTTATTTGTTTGTAGATTTCTGTGTAGAAAAACAAAAGCACGTTTTACTGGTTTATTTTGTCCAAAATAACCTTGAGCACAAGTCAGTGGTTATAAGATTATGACTGAAATGTTGTGAAGCTGAACCTTCTGATTTGTGAACCTACACATCCTGTTAGTCTTTAAAAACAACGTTAGCTCAAGCAGAGAGCAGAGCTGTTGGATACATTATTAAGGGTCATATATCAGGCATGTTTACTCTGTTGAACATTACTTAGCAGCAGTTTGTAGTCTTGAAAATCGGTACATAATATGGCNAAACGTTTAGACTTGAAAATAATCCCAGTTTTGAAACCCTACAGTGAATTATTTCAACTTTGGTTGAATAAAAGTGAAAGTTTGTTCAGACTTACAAAATGTGTTAAACTACTCACAAGTTAAATATCACAGTCATAATGAAGTCAGCTGATGATGAACACTGATTAATTGAGACCTGCAATCTGACACCTAAATATTTCTGATATATTCTGCACGTTTTTATAATACTACCTAAATTCTGCACCTCACTGCTTTTGAGAAGTTAAATCAGTCTTTATGTGGCTGATAATTTCAAAATACCACCATTTTAATCTCAAAATAGGCAGCATTTTGCAGATTATAATTTACGGTTACTGCTACTGTGTATGTCCGAGTACAGAAAAAGTTTATAGTGCATTTGATTTGATTTATTTATTTAACAGGAAAAGATTATTAAAAATCAAGCCTGACTCAGCA